TGTGTGAGAGAGAGAGTGCGTGTGTGTGTGAGAGCGAGAGAGAGAGAGAGAGTGTGTGTGTGTGTGTGTGTGAGAGAGAGAGAGAGAGAGAGTGAGTGTGTGTGTGTATGTATGGTGTTTCAAGTGTATTGTAGTTTGAGGGTCACCCGGTAGAGAGCGGTTTTTTCCCATTTAAAAACTGCAGTGTTTTCCTTTTTTTTAATGGTAAATTTGTCCTCACTATTTAATTAAATGGAAATTTGGAGGCTTTTATAGTGCTTTAAACTTAAATAATATTTAAATGAAATGCCAGCATATGTACATTCCTCCGTGGCTGACGTCATTGTGCAAGGCGATGCTCGTGTGACGTCACTGCTGCGCGGACCCAGATCATGACGCGCTCCGTGTTTGCTTGCTCTGGTTCGCGTTGACGCTCCGCGGCTCGCTTGATCCGGATCCGATGGAGGGAGCCGCGGCCGGAGGATGCGCGGCGGAGGACGCGGACTCGCTGATGGATGCTGCAGATCTCGGTATGCGGGGCTCTTTTACATTCCGGCTTCTGTTGCACAGCGATTTAATGCATATTAATGCGTTTCCATACAAACATGCTAGGTTTAAAATTGTTATTGTATAATACAGTCATGTTGGAAGTAGCTGACAGTAGCAAGGTTATGAATATGTTAATCGAACAGTATCATGGTATTCACACTTCATACAATCTGCCAGAGCACTATTTTGATTCTAGGTGTTATAATGTTTAGATTGTTTATGTAAACATGTAAATTGCATTGCTGTAGGAACATAGCATGGAAATACATCATTTTACCATGGCATAAGACAATCAGTACCTTAGTATATTAAAATACCATGGTTTTGTCATCAGATCTCATCACTGAATCATAATACTGCTACACTACATTTTTTAAGTGACATAAGATTTGTGTTTATATATATATATAATTTTTGTGTGTGTGTAAATAGATAAATCCATGTATTTTACCCAAAACCATGGTATTCTTTACCATGGCAATCTTCAAAGTACTACAGGACATGAATATCAGATTTATTAATATCAGAATCAGAATGAACATTTGTTAGACCAAGACAGAAAATAAATGATTTTGATATATTTTGAATTTTATATTGTTTATATAGGCTATGTATATATGTAATTGTATATATTGTATATAATTATATATATACATATATGTATTTATATTATATGTGTGTGTGTGTGTGTGTGTGTGTGTGTGTGAGAGAGTGCGTGTGAGTGTATAATTTTATATATATATTGTATATAATTATATATATATACACATTTATTCTGTATACATTATTCATCTTCTGTTCATTTTAATGTAGATGCACTTCATGATAATGATATTGTTCCTCATTATTATTAAAGATTATTTTATAAAATATAAGATGTTTATTTGTACAGATCGTAGTGTATAGATGCAGTGTGTGTTTATCTAGGGGACGTGTGTGTTAACATCATGTGAGTGTCAGTCCGAGTGTGTCCTTCAAATGCAAACTCAAAGTCCGTCTGAGTAATACTGCTCTGAAGTGTCTCGCTGAGCTGGACAGTGTTTCCTTGTGTTGACAGCTGTTCCTGTAGAATATCCTGTTGAGAACACACAGACAGGGGTCTCTTTCAGGTCCTGTGGGCATGATTTTAGCTGCTCGGCTGCTAATCCTGTTTTTTAGCCACGGTCTTCCGCACTCGGCGTTCCTGTTCATCACGGATTCAGAGCGTGTGCCACCGTCACATGACCGTCTCTTCTGTCTGTTGATGTTCAGTATTACTGTAGTGCTGACACAGTGTAGGGAGCTTACAGTTTGATATTCCTGCTGCAGCTCTGATGAGAAGATGATGAGACTTAATGCAGGTCTCGGTTATGCTTCGTTCAAATTTGAACATTGTATCAGATGTTTCTGCTGTGAACAGAACAGCTGTGATATGCATATGGAGAGCAGTTCTGATTATTCAGTGAGAAATCATTGAGTTCATGTTGAGATCTCTGACTTTTCATTGCAGACTTCAGTGTCTCATTGTTGAGATCTCTTCTGAAATACTAGAGGAGACTCATGTGAGGATGTTCTCACAAAAAAAAAACTATGAAGTGCAGAATGCAGCCTTTTTTCTCCATCTGACCTCTTTGCTGTCTCTGAGAAATAAGTGAGACGGATATATAGGGGGGAAAACTTCAATCTGAACTCAAGCATTTCTCATCAGAGTTAATAAAATGATCAGGGTGTTTAAGAGAAACATCTGAAAGTTTGTACTTGAGACTTGAATTAAAAACTCGTTTATGTCTCCTGAGCTTTGAACGTTCAACGTATGAGCAATGCAATGTAATAAAATCCTCTGGGTTCTGGCAAATCTCAAACTCTAGAGGAGACATACACGAGAGTACGGAGGTCTTTTTCTAAGCAGAAACATCTGAGAAGTAAGATCCTCTAGTTTGATCGGGCAAATCTAGAGGAGAAGCATCTGAGAAGCAGTAGACTTCAGCAATAGTTTCCATTAGCTCTCCATTTCATTTCATTCCTCTTAAGAAGAAATGCTGCCAAGTGAGTGATTCTCTATTAGAAATGTGATCCCGTTTGTTTCTGTGTGAGCAGTGTGTGTTTGCAGCACAGACAGATGCTCTTCACGTTAAACCTGCTCTCAGATCAGATCTTATCCTGGAAAATAAATGTTGCACTGAAGTCATATTGTAGATTAGTGGTTTTTAACTGTTTTTTCTAGTGACCAAAATCCAGAACTAAACAGTTTGTTTTTTGAAAGTAACATCAAACACTGACGTTTATGAATATTGCTAAAAAAAATCTCCCTTTAAAAGCTGATTTAAAAGTCTAACACTTCACTTCAAGCCTTTACATACAGTATATAATACATTATAAAAAATATATTTAATGCATTAATTTGATGACTTATGCATATTTTTGTGCATTGCATGAGCTCATGAATAATTGTAGCCACAGTTAATGCATGATAATACTTCTTAATAATAATGCTTTTTGTCACACCTTTAAGTATAATGCATTAAAACACAACAGTTTCAGATGCAACAAGGAGTCTGCATAATGCATTTTAACTTATTATTCATGAAAATATATAATGCACCAAACACATTCTAAATACCTTTGTAATGCATTATACAGAAAGGTTTCAAGTGCTACCGTCTTTATTCTGCTATTATAAATATGCATGATTATAGGATTTCTAGCATCTTGTTTTTTACCTTCAGAACAGACCCGTGAGCAGTTTTTGGGTCGTGAGATCTGAAGGAGTTGAGCTGAAGCGAATGGCGTGTTGTGTGCCGTTAGTTTGGAGAGTAGAGGCTGATGGCTGTAGTCCAGACTCAGTAGGTAACCTGAACTGTGTGTGCTCAGACATGCTCGTACCTGTACCACAGATTTACATGCCGTCCTGATCCGCTCCACATGGTTAGGAAACGCAAGAACAGCCGTATAGGCCAGATGAGTTTAGGTAACTTACAACATGTGAAGTCAGGTGAAGGTTATTGTGAGATCTTGAGCTTCTGTCCTACACTCTTAAAAATAAAGGTGCTTCAAAAGGTTCTTCAAGCGATGCCATAGAAGAACCATTTTTGGTTCCACAAAGAAGCATTCAGTCAAAGGTTCTTTAAAGAACCTTTGACTGAATGCTTCTTTGTGGAACCAAAAATGGTTCTTCTATGGCATCGCTTGAAGGAACTTTTGAAGCACCTTTATTTTTAAGAGTGTACAGAGATGTGAAGCAGACTCTCGGAGGGAATTAAAGGCTGGATTTCGTTCCCAGCGTCAGGGCTTGTTTTTATGAAGGAATGCAGTTTAGTCAGTTGCTCATCAGTGTTCTGAGTTAATCATAAAGCTGGTTTTCTGAAGAAACCGCAGTGCTTTCGTACCATGTGTGAGGCCCGTAATAAACCCTACAGGACTAGAAGATTGACAGCCATCATATAAAGGGAATTCCGTTCTTCATCCCGGTGAGAAATGCAAACGGAGAACAGTCTAGATCAGCCAACATAAAATCCATTTCCTTTTCTCCCAAATTCCGTGCGTTCCATTTGAATTTTTCAGGTTTGATTACATTTTTATTATCAGAAATTGTGTTTTATAAACTGAATTCATCAAATTAACTATTTAATAATTTACTAGAATTGTAACAATAATAGGGCCATATGAAATGTATATTGTTTATTTCTAGAAATTCTGTTTATTTTATTTATTCTGTTTTAAGAATGAATATAGATTTATTAAAAATGTTGGTAATCAAATGAATACATAAAACTAACTGATTAATTAATCTTTTCAAATGTAATCAAATGACATTTTGAAGTTTTGAACAATTAAATTTTTTGGCAAAGTGCTGCATAACATTAAATTAAATAACGCATAACGTTAAATTAAAACATGGACAAAAATTGTGTGATATTCCTTAAAACAAATCATGTTTTAATAAATTGTATTATTATTGTTATTTTTAATTATTTCTTTGAGTACATTCTACTGTACAACAGTAATATATTTCTGCTATAATTGAAGTTTTATTTTGTCAGGCTGCAGTGAAGAGCTTTGAAAGTTTCTGTGTATCTGACAAAAATTACATGCAAACTTCATATTAAATGGCAGGTTTTTTGCAGTTTAATATTTGCATGCTTGTTTATAATCACAATTTGATTAAGTGCACTGTCACACTTTTGTTGTGTTCTGTGACCCAGTTTTCCCTCATGTTTGATTGTGTCATTTATTTCAGGTGTGTCTGGTTAATTATCCTCGTTTGCTCCACTATATTAGTTGTGTTCTGGTCTCTGTTTGTCATCTGGTCTACTACGTCCCTAAGTGTGTCTTCTGCCTGTTCTGTCCTGGATTCTGTCCTGGATTTACTCTTGTGTAGATTTATTAGACTATTTGCATTCAGCTTTGTGCGTTTATGTACTACAGCCCAACTTGTGATTTGATTTAATCATCCAAGATGTGCCAAATTCCATCTGCGTTATACAGTAAATTCCTTTTTTACAAATGGATTTCGTGATTCCATCCGCGTTGTAAGATCTGAGTGTTTTTCAAAGTTGTGGCTCTTTTTAAACAATGAATTTGAATGACTCTTCCAGTGATTTATGGTTTACTGGATAAGAATCAAGGAAAATCATTTTTACAAATACTTTGTACGCAATTTTTACCCAAGCTTGGCGTAACTAGAAAAGTGCATATTGATTATAAAAACCATGGAGTTTTAGGATTTTATAGATTTTGTTTTTTGTTTTTTCCATGACCTTTCCACTTTTAAACTTGAGCTTTGTATATCCAGGTTTTCCAAGACTATGGGAATTCTGGATTCTTCAAAGAAAAGAACGGTTGTTGAGGGGTTGAAATATTAAAATATTGCTCTTTTTAATGCTTTTCTAGTGTGTTTTGTGTGTTATATTGTGTCTTAACAGCCTTTGTAATTCAATGCAAGCCGTTGCTTTTGTGAAACAGTGTTTCTGGTCAAACCTTGTTGACTAAAACGCATTGTGTA